ATTTATAATCTTTTAAAATCCACCAGAAATTTAGTTGAGGACACCCTCGTTATTTATCTCTTTTGGTGGAAGTTTGTTAGGAAAATTATTGTCAAACGTCCTCCCAGGCTATAATGTTAAGTCATTGTTTATTTAGTCGGCATCGACCAATGATTGACGTGAAATATCGATACCACAAATGTAATGAACTAAACATATAACATATTTGAGCCATTTGAGGTAACCTAATTTAATTAGAGTTACTCATGGCCCGACCCGTTATTTCTTTGGTGACTTTGATATTTGGCCCACTTATTAGTTATCTATTATTATTGGGTCCAATCACTATTTACCCTAAAAAGCGTACATATACTAAATATTGATTGTTTTCGCTGCTTTGTGTTCTGAGCCTTCCTTTCTTGAGAGATATTGGATGCGTCTTTTGCTTTGTGCTCTCCTTTGTAGTATGTTCTCGTCTCTCCTTTTTTCTTAGCCTTTGTAGCTACTGTGTGGCTGCAATAACCCCTTACTAGTGTCCTTAGTGGGCAAGCCAAATAGCAACTGATTCTGGGAGTGAGTTGTGGTTTGAGTTTTGTGACTTTGTGGTGTTGATTTTGATATATATGATATACTGAGTCCGGAATCCTTTGGTGATCCAATTTTCACTCAACAATTATAATTTTCATATATTTTTATTTAAATTTAAATTGAATAATTCCATCATTGTGAATCATGTGTATGAGTATTCTCAAGGAAAATTCAGTAATAAAATTTTAAAAAATCATTTTTTTTATAATTTCCTATTTTCGGTTAAAGGGATTATAATCCCTGCAAAATCACATGGCACAGTTGTTTTTATTCAATCTCGAAAGTACAACCCTTGCTTTTTATTTTATGTTTATATCAAGAAACATAGGGTCTCAAAATGTACATATTCTAGTCATGAATACAAAACTTCGACTACTCCTGTCGTAATAGAATTATGTGGGCGAAGGTATCAAATTTTTAGTTTTTTATTTGTACACGTAGAGAGCAATTCACGACAGCATACGAAAATTAATTTTATAGGTAGGTTGTAAAAAAATTATTGCATGATTGAAATCAAACGAACACCTTGATTCAAAACAATTTTACACTAAAACACTCTGATTGGTAAAGATTTATGAAGAGATATTAATGAGCTCACAAAGAGCATGAAGATTTCACGAGAAAAAA